GTGGGCGTGTGGCTGTGGGGAGGGCACTGCTCACTGCCTGGTCCCCACGGAGCTGGGGGGCTCCAGGACTGATGGGTGGGGACCAGCAGCAGGACCACTCAGCCAGCAGGGAAACAGCTGGATGCACCCAGAGCGTCAGGATGGGGATCTGGGGATGCAGGAGTGAATGGGGACCAGGCACTCAGCCAGCAGGGAAATAAATGGAGGCACCCAGAATGTTAGGAGTGGGTTCTGGGGATTCAGGAGTGAATGGGGACCAGGCACTCAGACAGCAGGGAAACAGCTGGAAGCACAGAAGGGGGATCTGGGGCTCCAGGACTGGGCAAGAACCAGGCACTCAGTCAGCAGGGAAATAACTGAAGGCACGCAGAATGTCAGAATGGGGTTCTGGGCATCCAGGACTGAGCAAGGACCAGGTAATCAACCAGCAGGGAAACAGCTGGAAGCACAGGATGGGGATCTGGGGCTCCAGGACTGGGCAAGGACCAGGCACCCAACCAACAGGAAAACAGCTGGAGGCACCCACAGGCACAGGAGTGGGATCTGGGGATCCAGGAGTGAATGAGGACCAGGTACTCAGACAGCAGAGAAACAGCTGGATGCACCCAGAGTGTCAGGATGGGGATCTGGGGGTCCAGGACTGGATGAGGACCAGGCACCCAACCAGCAGGAAAACAGCTGGAAGCACCCAGAATGTCAGGATGGGGATCTGGGCACTGAGTATGGCCACAGAAAGCTGCAGAATTCCCTGCATTCCCAGCCTAGAAGCAGGAGGGGCATCTGGGCACAGAGAAGGCTGCAGAATTCCCTGCATTTTGGGCAGGAGGGGGATCTGGGCACTGAGTGTGGCCACAGAAAGCTGCAGAATCCCCTTCATTTTGGCAATGGCTGTGCTTGGGGGTCTCTCCCAAGCTGGGGCTCACCCTGGTTGGTGCAGTTGGCGTGGGTCTCGTCACTGTAGTCCCCACAGTCGTTGTCCCCATCACAGGTCCAGTGCACGGGGATGCAGCGGCCGCTGTTGCATTTGAACTGGTTGCTGGAGCAGGAGTGGCTGCAGCCAGCCTCGTCACTGTTGTCCCCACAGTCGTTGTCTGCAGAGGGAATTGGGGTGGCCAGGGGGTCAGCAGGAGCCCGGCCAGGACGGGGCTGGAAGGAGGGAGGACAGCAAAGACCCCTCGGAACAACGGGGGACAGGACAGGCCACGCCACAGAGGGGACGTGGGGTGACAGCAGCCCCTCATCAATGCTGGTGGTGGGACCCCCACCATGGGCTGGAGACCCCCCAGCCCTCCCACCCCACAGCTCCAGCAGCACACAGAGAAAATGGAACACAGAAACTGCATAGATCAGCCATGAACCTGGATGGGGACTGGGCTCCACTCTGGGGATAGGAGCTCCTTTGGGGGTGCAGGGACAGCCAATTGGGGGGGTTGGATTGTCTGGAGGAGACCCCCATGCCTGCTGTTTGAGGGGGGGTTGGTCTGAGGGTAGCTGGACACTGGCAATGCAGCCCCTCTGCCTGCCTGGCACAGGGGGCATGGGCTGGGCACCACCACAGGGATCCACTGTGGGTGCCCCACCTGAGACTGGGCAAGGGGATTTGCCTCCTGGTGCCTCAGNAAACACACCCAGGGTTTTGGGTTAGGATGCCAAGATCTGGAACAATCCCTGCCAGGTTATTCCTGCTGCCCCTGCACAGCCAATGGAAATATGGGGCTGGGGGCTGCAGGTCTGGAACAATCCCAGTTTATTCCTGCAGCTCTCCCCACCCCAGCACAGCCAAGGGAAATACGGGGCTGGGGGCTGCAGGATGGGCTCAGCTTTGGCTCCCCTTGGGGCTCTGCCCTCCAGCACAAGCTGAGAACTTGCCCAGGCTTCTGCAGCTCTCTCCATCAGGCTCCAGCATCCATCCCTCGTAGCAGGAACACTTGACATTGTACTTGTCCTGCTCACACTTCTGGCTGCACTTGAGGTGCTTGGCACAGTAGCTCTGGATCTGGCAGGTCTTGTTGTCAGCACCCAGCTCCATGCCCAGGGGACAGGAGCACACGATCCCCTCTCCAGGTGCCACCGTGCAGTTGTGGCTGCAGCCTCCGTTGTTGAGGGAGCACTGATCTGTGGGGACAGGACACGGCTGTCACCTCCTGGTGCCACTCNGTCCCTTTGTCCCTCCCCTCCTGTACCTGCTTGGTGGCTCCCTACCCCTTCCCTGCCCCTCTCCCTGGGGTTAAAGGAACAACAACCACGGGCTCAGGGAGTTCTGTTGGAGCTGGTGCTGCATTCAGAGGCCTGTGGGCCAGAATAAAGCTCTGGATCCAAACCCTCCATCAGAACCAACTCCTTTTCCTTCACCATCACCTTAAAGCTTCTCCACCAAGGTAAACCTGAGCTCCTGCAAGCCTGGATTTGCCCCAAGTGCCCAGCTGCAATATCCAGCCAGCCAAAGGTGTCTCTGAGGTGAAACCACCACAGCTGCCACCCTTGGTCAAGCAGCAAGGGCTGGAAAAACCTAGGAATGTTCCATCCAGCTATACTGGGATTTAATTCCAATATATTGGTATTTAATTCCAATATATTGGCACCCAACGTAGGGCAGCTCAATCCTGGGGATGGATCAGTCAGGGAAGGGACCCCTGAGGTGGCACCCTCACTTTTGCTGCAATATCCAGCCAGCCAAAGGTGTCTCTGAGGTGAAACCACCACAGCTGCCATCTTTGGTCAAGCAGCCATGGCCAGATGAGCCCAGGCACGTTCCATCCAGCTATATTGGGATTTAATTCCAGTATCCTGGTGGGTGCTGTCCCCTCCTGGCTCACCCGTAGCGAGGGTCCAGGGCGATGGCGCGGGGGTGCTCGATGTCCCCCGCCAGCAGCGTGGTCCTCATGGTGCCATCCAGCTTGGCCACCTCGATCTGGTCCAGGTTGCTCTCCACCCAGTAGATGTTGCCAGCGATCCAGTCCACGGCCAGTCCCTCAGGGGTGGCCAGGCCGTACTGTATGACCACCTCGAAGCTGGTCAGGGCTGTGGGGCACAAGGTGAGGGCTCAGTGTGGTGCCACTTCCCCAGCCCACACAGAACCACCACCCCTGTATCCCCAACAGCTCCAACCAGCTCAGCTGGGGTTGATTGTGAGGGGATGTGTCCTCCCCAAACAGGGCGTGAACCACCCCTGTGCATGGTCCAAACCCCAAAGAGCTCAGCACACCCTATCCATTGTCAGATCCTAAAGAGCTCAGCACCCCCAATCCATAGCCCAGACCCCAAAGAGCTCAGCACTCCTAATCTACAGTCCAAACCCCAAAGGGCTCAGCACTCCCCATCCACGGTCAGATACAAAAGAGATCAGCACCTTCTATCCATAATCCAGACCCTAAAGGGCTCAGCATCCATCCACAGTCCAAACCCCAAAGGGCTCAGCACACCCTATCCATTATGAGACCCCAAAGAGCTCAGCCCCCATCCATAGTCCAGACCCCAAAGAGCTCAGCCCCCATCCATGTTCCAGGCCCCAAAGGACTCAGCGCCCATCCATAGTCCAGACCTCAAAGCTCCTCAAAGGGCTCAGCATCCATCCATGTCCCAGGCCCCAAAGAGCTCAGTCCCCATCCATGTCCCACACCCCAAAGGGCTCAGCATCCATCCACAGTCCAAACCCCAAAGGGCTCAGCACACCCTATCCATTGTCAGATCCTAAAGAGCTCAGCACTCCCATCCATAATCCTGACCCCAAAGAGCTCAGCGCCCATCCATGTTCCAGGCCCCAAAGGACTCAGCACCCATCCATAGTCCAGACCTCAAAGCTCCTCAAAGGGCTCAGCATCCATCCATGTCCCACACCTCAAAGGGCTCAGCCCCCATCCATGTTCCAGGCCCCAAAGAGCTCAGTCCCCATCCATGTTCCAGGCCCCAAAGGACTCAGCATCCATCCATGGTCAGACCCCAAAGGGCTCAGCACTCCCTATCCCTAATCCTGACCCCAAAGGGCTCAGCCCCCCATCCCTACTCCTGCCACTGGGCTCCTGTGGGAGCAGCACTGATGGAGAGGGTGTCCTCTCTGTGCCCAGCTGCTGGGCTGCAATTACCAGCAGGGAAGTGCTGGGAATACTAATTAACTACTGCATAATGAGAGCAGAACAAGATCACTATCAGGGCCAAGGGCTGATATCACTATCAGTGATATCACCATCAGCTGCTGCATCGCACTCCACGAAATCACAGACCCCAGACCTCCAACCCCAGCTCCCCCAACCCCAGGCTCCTCACCCCCGTTCTCCAGCAGCTTTCCCCTGTAGATTTTGTCCTCCACCACGTCAGTCCAGTACAGGGAGCTCTGGTTGAGGTGGAAGTCCAGGGCGATGGTGTTGCGCAGCCCGGGCACCAGCACGCTGTAATCCCCTCGGTGCAGGTCGATGCGCCGGATCTCATGGCGGTTGGAGAAGATGATGAAGGGCTTAAAAGGGTCTGGAAGAAGCAGGGAAGGGTCAGAAACAAGGCAGGGAACAGTGCACTCAGCCCCTGTCAGCACAAATCCCACCATCAG